TTTTCCTTAAATAAATTTTATGATATTCATAAGAAACAATATCAAACATAATGCATTCTCAATTACATAAAGATTCTACTAAGACTTTAAATGAAATAAAAAACAAAGCCTCAAACCCATAGAAACAATAAAAACACATTTATTTTAAATAACTTGCCATTAAACTGACAATCAAGACATATGATCTTTAACATTCAGAAACATAAATGATCATAATGAAACAAAGGCTAAACATATCTCTCTCAACCTCTCTCATATATGTATAGAATTATAAGCCAGCATTATCATGTAATAAATGAATACACACCTTACTTTAGTATATGCCAAGGCAGACACACAAAAACAAGAAAAAAATTTTGAAATCAGAGTGTAAAGGGACTCTGCTTTTTCAAACAATGCAGCACTGAAAGCCAGGTCAGCATCCTTGGGCATTACTAGGAAACTTTAGCACGTCTGATATTTCCATCATCTTCAGAATTCCTCTGAACAATGAGAAAATTTCCCAGTCACCCTACCTCACCTGTCTACAGACTTCCTTTAGCTTTCCTCCCTCTACTGTGTAATAATGCTATTGAGGTTATTTAGGCTTTAAATGTTCAGAGATACAACCCCCGCTATATATTAATTCAGTTTATTTTCTCACAGACACTGACTCAGCCGTGGGTTGTGCAGCACTGACGTTTCTAACCAAACAGCATCGTGTGAGCTGTGATCGTCCCACTTCTCCATCTTTGTGCAGTGATTGGATATTGTAACTGATAGACAGGATGAAGAAAACTCAGGAGATGAGGGCTTAGTGATATGTAGATATGTTGCCAAATGCCATCTGTAAAGCTAATTCTAGCTCTGCCAGCTTGCCAGGTTTTAGAAAACTAGGATGCAGCTAACTTTCTTTTTTCCTTTCAATATTTTATTGTGTACCTATTCTGGGCAGTAAAACTTCTCTTTAGAACTGAAGAGAAAATATTATCTGTACTTTAAGAACCCACTAAGGAACTACTCTTTAAAGCAACCAAACTTTTCCATTTCTAAACTGCTGCTAGGACTAAAGAGTGACTTAAAAAGGAAAATGGAAAGCTCAATCTTCGTGCAGTCTCAGAAGAAAGGAGCATGCGTACTTCTATGTGAGAATGAACCCCTTGCGGCAAAGTCTGATATTGAACGTATGATGCATTTGTCTTTAGTAACCTGAGCAGACTGCAGATCTGAGTTTTAAATAGTTGTATTCGACCCAATTCAAATATGCAAGAGCTTTTAGCATATTGTCACTCTAGGGCGTTTTAACATCAGTTACACAGAAAAGGTGCTCTTTCTTTTTCCTTTTTAAATAGCAAAAACTCTCCTAATTTAAAGAAAGTTGTCATAACTCAAGCCAAATAAACTTCAACTGAAATGATCTTTAACCTCTCAGCAAGCTACCAAACCCCTCAATATAAGTATTAACTATACAACTACTAGTCAGAAAGAAATAAAGTTCAGTAATTTTTCAGCTATCTAATTCATTTGTATGCACTTGCAGAGGAATCGCAGGCACCCTGAGATCAGTTTCCCTGCCTTGTCTTTTATATCAGTGTTATACCTATTAAGTCTACATTCAAAGAAACATCAGAAAAGAAAGTACCTTAAAGTTGTATTAGGTAAAAGAGAAACCATAACGCAATGCCCACCAAACCCTCAAACCTCCAAGGTAAGTACATGTATATAGTAGTTATTATTGTTACCTTTATAATTTAAGAAATTTATTTTTATCCTTGCTAATAAGGAAAGGTAAAGGGGGAAAAAATCAAAGGAAAAACATTTTAGAAAGCAGGCTATTCCAATATGTGAACAGAACAAAAAGCAAATTTAAATAACTTTTTTGAAAATCCTCAAAAACTGAACCAATAAAGTATGCTTATTTCTTTATTGCTAAAGGCTGAATGTTTTTATTTTCAAAATTCATCTGTTGATATGTATTCCCCCAACGTGATGGTATATGGAGGGGAGGTGATTAGCTCATGAGGGCAGAGCCTTCATGAATGGGACTAATACCTTTATAAAAGAGATCCCAGAAAGATCCCTAGTCCCTTCTACCATGTGAGGACACAGCAAAAAGAGGGGTGTCTGAAGCAGGAAGCAAGCCCTTACCAGATACCAAATGTGCCAGTGCCTTGATTTTGGACTTCCCAGCCTCCAGAACCATGTGAAATAAATTTCTGTTGTTTATAATACAGCCACTCAGTCCATGGTATTCTGTTATAGCAGTCTTAACAGACTGACACATTTAGTTTTTGTAAATTTAAATCTCCAATTCTGTTTGAGGTGGCAACGGGAGCACTTATATTTCTCAGTCTCCATAATCCAGAGATGACCATATGACACAGTTCTAGACAATGATTTATTGATATAAGCAGAATCCCGCTGGAAATTTCTGAGAAATTTAATTTCCTGATATAAATGAAACCTCTTTCCCATCGTCCCCGTCTCCCTTCCTCCTCCTCCTCCTTGTCTGGAAGGTGGACATGACAGTTGGAACTATGGTAAGCCATCTTGTGATTGTGAGGAAACACCAAGAAAAATCAAAGACCTTTGACCCTAATATACTGAAGCCTTTTTGTGTACAAGAAAAATAAACCCCTAAGTTAAGCCAGTGTTTAATCTGGCTTCCTTCTACTCAAACATCCCTAAATAAAATACACAAGATTCAGAAAAAGGATGCGAGTAGGCAGAAGTATAGATGAAACAAAATCAGCCATGAGTTGATAACTTGAAGCTGGGGAACGGATACATAGGGGTTCATTATACCTGTTCTCTCTACTGTATATGTATTTTAAATGTATCACAATAAGTTATTCAAAATTTTAAAAAATAAAAAGAAGAAGCTTGTTTATAAATTCTAGCTTTGTCATTTATAAGTTGGATGGCCTTGGGCAAGTTTATTAACCTCATTTTTTTCATCTGTTAAATGGGGACTAATACTATTCACAGAGCTCTACCTTTAGATCCAGTCAAGGTAATCTCCAGAAGGTCCCTGGCAGGAATGCCCTCCATCTACCTAACCATCCAAGGATTAGTTCAAGTCTCATTTTCACCTGTTCAGACTGACACTGATTCCTTCTCTGAACTCTTATTTTACTGCAACTCACTACCACAGTTTAGTGCTCTATTGTCCTCTAATTGTTCCATACGTGGATATTAAAGCATTCCATGATGGTACCCTGACGAACTACTTAATCTCTCCTGAAATGAGCACAGGTTCTCAAGAATACTTGCTGCTGTTAGTTTTTAATTCTGCTCAATTAATTTACTATTAATTCAAAAGCTACCATTTTAAAAAAGTCAAATTGAATATATTTTTAAAGCATCTGAAGTTACATGTTTGTAAGTTCATAGGAACAAGAGGTCCCAAAAAGTAAACTGTTTTCCCTTGGGAAGTTTCTCCATGAATGAGGTTAAGATAAGGTCAAAGGATTTCACGGTCTTTCCATTAAAAAAAAAAAAAAATCAATACATTGGTATTCATTTACTTCTCTAATATTTTTCACTTAAACAACCAATACTACTGCAATCTTTTTTAAAAAGAGCACCAAAAAGATACTGATGCTATAGAAATCAAGAAGAGCTATGATAACTGTTTTTACTGAAGTAAAATAACAGTAATTTTAAAAGTACTGTTTTTTAATAAACATTTCCCATTGTATGCCCACAGCTTTTATAAAGCAAACAATAGTTTATTTTCACCTTGTCACGACTTCATATACAACAAAGTCTTGTACATCAGTAGAAAAATATTAAGAACTAGCAAGGATAAGATATAATTCACCTGAAAAAATGTATGTAACATCAGATATAAATAAAGCCCCATATTTAATGAGATAAAACCAATATCTCTTTAATCTCAAAGACAAAATAAATATCCATGTAAAACAGGATGGAGAAAAAGAACTAGAGCACCAATTGAAGGACACACACACACACACACAAACACACCAAAAAAACAAATAAACCAAAAAACACACCACTGGTGTGTACTTATAAATAAATAAAGTCAACTCAACGTCTTCATTTTAGACCTCACCACATTAAAAGTCCACAATAAAGGTACACATCTTGTCAGGAGACTTAAATAGTACTAGTCACTCATATTTTCTAGCCATGTATATAACTTAATAAAAGTAGCTGAATCATTTCTTTAAAATTACAAAAAGGATTTCAGTATCACGGCATGTTTTTATTATTTTTCAATAAAGCTGGTATTAGTTATCAGTGATCAGGAGAATTTTACATTCAAGTAAGTTAAACGTTCAATAATATCCCCTAAGTAAATGTTCATAAAGCACAACTCTCTATGAAAACATGCTTACATACCCACATTATGTGAGGTTTATGAGGTGTCAACACCTTAAAATATCAGATCATAAAGTGTTCTAAACGAGGTGTTCCCCATAAGTCACATAGCACAAAATGAAAGCTTTAAAAATAATGTATAAATGGGCTGAAACTTTTCAACTGAATTTCATTTAATGCAGCAAACTTTAAATGAACCAGGCAAGTCACTGATGGACTGATTTTACTATTAGGATCACAATGATAACACAACATAATTTCACATAGTTAAAAATGTACAGAGGCACAGACTGACAAAAGCCTATAAATTATCATACACAATGTATTTAGAGCACAAAATAAATTCGTATTAGAGAGTTTTAAATACAAAGAGTTAACCTGATTTGCCAGACTTCCCAGTTTAATTAACTATAGCATTTATTCATGGGGTCAACTAAGGATATTTTAGCATTATTTAGAAACAGAAATTAAAATTCATATAAATACAAATATAAGAAAATCAAAATGAAAAACTGTTTCCCTCAAAGTTATTTAAGGAGAAATGCAAACATTCATATATTTTGTAAACTGGCTCCCATCCTGACAGTACTTGGCCACACCAAATGCAGTTTGATTCTTCATAAAAATCAGTTTTAGCAGAGCTTTGACATGTGAAATACATACTTTCTACCTACCTTGAATGTTTATAAAGTTTACGAGGTCTACTATGCAATTTCCGATCCCAATTCTCTGGATCACTGGAGTTACTGTCATAAGGATGAGGCCGTCCTGCCATCCCACTTCAAGCTTCCTCACACTACTGCTCTGAAAGCACACATGAAGCACCCATAACCTACATAAAAGAGTAGTGTTGACCTTTAAATCTATTCCATGCAGAGTAAGTCACAGAATTTTGTATCCTTTCTGACATTACTGTGACATTTTTTAAAGTGATGAACAGGATTATAAAACATCAGACACACAAAATGCCACAAATCAGATTAAAATAAACACCAAAAGCCTTTTTAGGTACTTTTCATTTGATTATTCGATTAAATTTGTTACTCCTATACAACATTTTAATAATGTGCTATTTGTATTTAGTAAACATACTTATTGACATTTGGGTACCTCATGTTTCCAAACATCAATACAGAACCAAAAGAGACAAAAACAACTCCACAGAATGATTCTTTCAGACAAAATTTCATTTGGAACACATTTCTTAATCACTAAAATTTTAAGATACTTAACAAAGCATCTAGTAAGACCAGATAACAATGGTCTTTAACCAAGTTAAAGACCATGAATAGAAATTTAATATTTGTTCAAAACTAAAAGTATGCAAACATCCTGATGTTTCCTTACAGTGCAATTATCAAAAAACATTTTATCAATATGATTCATGTATTTTATGCCTTTTCATATGTGAGGCTTATGACTGTTAGTTCTACTACAGTCCTGTAAAATTATAGAACTCACTTAACAACAGCTTTACGAAATACCTGAACTAAGCACTTTAAAGTATATTCACTACCCAATTTAATCTTCACAATCAACTTACAAGGTAGGTATTATACTCCTCATATACAGAACAGAAAACAGTCTGAGAAGGTTAGTAACTTTGCCAAAGGTCACAATGTTGGTCAACAGCAGGATTATAAAGAACAATGAGAATTTATTACTATATAGCATGAAGTCTTGATCTTGAAAAATGCTCAGACTGGAGTATTCTATTTAGAAATAGTAGGTCAGATTTGACTTTTAGAGATTGCAAACACCAAAAGAAAAAACAAATGAGGTTAAACAATTTGAACAGTTATGTAAACTGAATTAGAACCCAGGTTTCCTGACACTCACTTCTGTATGCTTTGTATATACTTTTCCAAGCCAGATTTGATAGAGGGAAGTGAGGAGGGATTTATGCATTAAAGTCAAAGGGATGAGAGGTAATGGGATGGATGCCTACATTCTCCATCCAAAAAAAAAGTCAAAGGGAATCCAGAATTGAGAAAATACTGTACCTCACTGAATTGTATAGATTATGCCAGTACAATTTCACCAAAAAATGCCAAAGATAAACTCATGAAAATTGTGAGTCTATCTCAGAGCTCATTAAAAGAAACACTTTTATTTTAGAGAAACTATTTTGCTACTTTAGAATTTTTTTCTTAATAGTTAACTTAGTACTTTCTTTCCAAAAACAACTGAAAAATCTAATAATAAATTAACATTTTAATATAATAAATATGTAAATAAGTAGCTCAAAGAGTGAAATAAAAATAATAAAGGGGGAAGGAGGAGAACTGTACAATGGCTAATTCAAATTCCTTAGCAAATGATGCAGTTTATTTGCTGAATACTCCTGGAAAAGGAAACCTTTCCTGAAGGATCGCTGAATGACTGATTAAAAATCAGTCAGATGTTAAATGAACATAAAAACCACAAATTGTTATGAAAACAAATAAAATCTCAATTTCATTTAATTAGAAAAATAAAAATGTATTTACTAAATAAGAAACACTTTAAAACTTCAATTTGGTATTATAGCTAGTTATCTGTCTTGAAAAGATGAGGCAGAAGAGAAGGGTGAAAAAGAATAAATCAGAGAGACAAAGCAGGAAGTCAGTTAGGAAAAAATGGTCACAGACCAAGAGAGACCAAAAAGGTAAAAAAGAATAGTAGGGAAAACTGATAAGGAGGGAAATGAAAGATGTAGAGGCTTAGCAGGTTATGTAGAATGAGATTTAGAGCATTTTCTCCTTACTGGATAGGTCTTCCAATAAGCTATTTCAGGCATTAGCATTTCCTTAAAGGGCACATTAGCTCCTAACCCTTAACTGTAAGACACACCCTTCGGGAAACCCACAGAAGACCACTGAGTAAAGAATAATCCTAAACCATGGGAGACAGTGACTAAAAAAACACAACCACAAGGAATGAATAAGGTAAATTCCAATTCATATTTTCCACTATTTTACAGTGGGTGGCACATATCTAGTAGCTGGGAAATATCAGTATGAATTCCTAATCAATCCTACTGAAATTAACAACATGTACATTATAGCCAGCCACAAGAAAGTAAAGAATGTTCAGATGAAGGCTATCGAAAAAGTCAACTGGAAAATCATGTTTACATTTCACTTGTCAATAAAATTTGAGTATCACCATGTGAAGGATTTCACCCCACTCCTCACTCCCAATAGCAAGGGTACACACAAAAAAGAAGTGAAATTCAAGTTAAGGTAGCTGGAAAAAATATGCCTGTGTTTGCCTACACATGCTAGCACATTTTTAAATGCTACAGATTTAACTACAAACAAATAAAAAGCAAACGACACACATTACATACTATTTTGAAACATCTAATGATCTTCTATATTTTAACCAATCTCTACGCCATACTCAGTGACATTATATTAATCTTATTTCACTCACTCACTCATTTACTCATTCATTCATGTACTTATTGAACAGCTAATATAACATGCCAAGAAATTTACACATGCTAAAAGCAAGCTGGATGTCATTCTTCTGCTCAAAAAAACTCACCCTAGCATGGGGAGAAAAGACTCCACTAACAGCTCTATACCACTTACTCGTGTATCTCTCCTACCTGGGTAGTCTTGCATTGTTACCCCACCCTCCAACCCCATATCCTGGGTGTTCTTTGGTATTCCATCTTCATCTGCTGGGTCCAGGGAGACAGCAAAGAAATAGGATCAAACCCTTGAGAACACCAGGTTTTACACATAACATACAATGAATCAAAAATCTTGAAGTCATCCTTGACCTCTCCTTTCCCAACATCAAGTCTAACTTCAAATTTTTCTTTTGACTCCTTCTCTTCCTTATCAATCATAAGGCTGCTGTCTTCATTTAAACCCTTAATAGCTAAGAATAAGCCTCTTACTTGACCTCTTTACCCCATTCGATTCCATATTAGCTCTGCTATAATCAGAATTATCTTTCTAAAAACTTTTAATGGCTCTTCATTTCCTGATCTGAACTCCATACCATAAAAAGTTCTTCAAAATCTGACACTTGGATCCCCAATGTCTACTTTATATTAGGCAAATTAAAGATCTGGTTTGGATCTTGTAATCACCAAAAAATAATTTCTGGACTACTGGAAACAAAGTTCTTAGACAATATGTAACAATTCATTACTAATATTTTTAGGCATGACAGAAGTAATGTAAATTCTAAATAATCTAGAAATAATCCATACAGAGGCTGGAACAATTGGGCCTATTGGCTAGAGACATACATTCAGGAAACTGCCAAAAGTCAATTGGGAAAGAGTGCGTCGATTGCTTCTCCTTCTCTTGGATATTACTACCTTTAAAACAGGAGGGGGGTGGGGGTAGGAAGAGACAGAATCTTCAAGACTACAGTATCATAAGTAAGTACTCCCAGGGACACTATTTCCAGGCACTATTAATTAATGGCAATGACCCACAGAAGAGCTTAAAAAAAAAAAAAACAGGACAGTATCCAGAGACAATTTATGCTGTCCTTCCTGTTATCAATGTGCTAGGAAGATTACATACTTTCTCCTATTTAAAGCTCAAAACAACCCAATATTACTATCCTGTTTCATAGATGAGGAAATCTTAGGGCTAAGATGAGAATCCCAGTCTAACTGAAAGCCCATGTTCTTTCCATACTGTAGCAAGTGAAGTACACAGAAATTCATATATTTGCTCCTTATTGCCAACAGATGTCACTTTTTTTTTTTTTTGCGGAGCACAGGCTCCGGACGTGCAGGCTCAGCGGCCATGGCTCACGGGCCCAGCCGCTCCGCAGCATGTGGGATCTTCCCGGACAGGGGCACGAACCCGTGTCCCCTGCATCGGCAGGCGGACTCTCAACCACTGCGCCACCAGGGAAGCCCCAGATGTCATTTTTAAACACAGCCATCTTGTGGCTTTGTGCAAACTACTGAGATCTCACTCTAAATAGTGTCATTACACAAGAGCTTTTCTGATAAGTGAAATTATTTTTATCTCTCAAACTTGGCAAACAAAGTGTGTGGTGGTTACTGGAGAGAAAGACCTGATAGAGAGGGAAAAAAGTGAATAGAACAGAATCACATAGTGATACCAGGGCCAGACACCAAGGACTGCCTTCAGCTGCATAGAAAGCCAAATACCCAGAGGTGGGAGTGGGAAAGACTGACCAAGAGGTAGTCAAGAAGGCACCTGAGCTAGCAAAATGTCCTAAGGTAACCTTTCCTATATGGAAAAGACCAAAAGCAGCGATAGCCCCCCAGGGCAAATGAATCGCTTGAGATTGGCAGACTAAAAGAGCAAACACCTGAATGCTAGGGGTCTAGATGTAGGAAGAATTTCTGAAGGGCCAGAAACTTGCGGGATCATTTGATGAGCTTCTCTCCTTATAGGCATAAAAGAGAGACTGTACCAGCTTGTAGACACAAAATACATGATATAGATATAACTGTGAAAGAAAAAGAACAAGAGGAAGCAGCTTTTAAAAGGAACCAGAGGGATGAAAAGGAACCTCCTGCAAATGCAGCTGAGAGAATTGATCATGTGAGCCTCATACAGATAACAATTATTTAAATTTGGATTAAAAAAATTTTTAATTGTTTTATAGCATTTTTTTGGAAAGTGTCTCAAAGCATACAGTAGTAAAAAAAAGAGCTTACTCTTTTTTTTTTGGCGGTACGCGGGCCTCTCACTGTTGTGGCCTCTCCCGTTGCGGAGCACAGGCTCCGGACGCGCAGGCTCAGTGGCCATGGCTCACAGGCCCAGCCAGTCCGCAGCATGTGGGATCTTCCCCGACCGGGGCACGAGCCCACGTCCCCTGCATCGGCAGGCAGACTCTCAA